ATATACAGGGGTAAAAGGGATATGTATGCAAATTTGAGTTCTTGAGGTCAATTAAATTTCAAGTATATAAATACTTAGTCAATTCCCGGAAATTATAACGGAATGGAACTTGTGTTTTATATACACATCTGAAAAATCGCGGAAATCTAGAAAAAAAAAGTTACATTTAATTCAATCGTGTAATATAAAACTAAAATGACATTATGCGTAATACTCTCTTTATGCATTCGGGTTGTTTTACAAGAGGGTCTGTTCCCTATATATGGCATCGTAATCATCCTGAAACTCAAGCAGACTTCTTCACCGCTACTCTTTCTTTTCTTCTCTTTCTCTCTCTCCTCTCTCTCTCCTCTCTCTCTCTCTCTCTCTCTCTCTCTCTCTCTCTCTCTCCCTCTCTCTGCAATATCGTTCTTGTTCTCTCTCTTTCTCTCTTGTAGTGAGTGTGAGTATGCGAAAGGTGAGATGCGCATGCATTCATCGAGATGCAATGCCGTGGCTTGGAACTGCAGGGAAGCAATTTGCGCGAAGGCAGCAGATTTCAGTAATAACTTCATATGCTCGCATGATTTATGGGAAAAAAGAGAGATGAATATTTAAATGATAGGATATGCGATAATAATGGTATATTGAGGAAATCAAATTAATTAGGAGCTGTAATTTTAAGGAGTATTAAATAAAATAAAAAGAAACATATCAAATTTCATTCAATATCAAATTTTATTTTTTTACTGATTTTTAAATATAAAAATTTCAGTATACAAAAATATATACAAAATGATAAAAATTTCAGAAATTCAATTTTAATTTTGAAATATCACGGTTCAAACTTTAAAATAATTATCATCGAAATATTAAGAGATATTAAATACAAATTTCTCTCAAAGAGATGAAATAATTACATGTAATAATTTATTACTAAATAAACTTTTGATGAAATTTTTCATCTCACAAAGAAGAACAATGTGAAATGTCTTCTTCTATTTTTAATAAGTCTTAGATACATCAAAATATAGACAGAAATAAGAGATGCGTACTTTTTTTAAAAATACTTTGTGAAAAAGATCGGTTTTCTCCTGAGTGAATATTTTATATAAAACAAAAATTATATAAGCAAAAGTCGAATAGTTTTGAATACTTTATAACTCTAATAAAATAATATCTCTTTATAACTTCTAATTTTTTTAAAGATTTTTATTTATAAAAAATTTTATTTATAAAAATTATTTATAAACAATTTTATTTATATATAAAAAATTATTTTAAAAAATTTTGTTGAGCATTATTATAAATACTCTTGCAACCATTTTTTAAAACTTTTTAAGGCTCTTGAATAGCCTTCAGCCATATTGAATCGTGATGTTATAAGAGAAATGACACGTTGATTTTTCTTGCATACCATTTGTAAAGAGAATTTGAATAAAATTAAATGATAAGATCGCTTTAAAACATCGTTTTCTTTATTTACAAATGGCATGCAAAAAAAATCAACGTGTCGCTTATGACACATTTTTCGCTTATGACATCACGATTCAATATGGTTACAGTGAGTACTCTCAGAAGTCTTAAAACTATTTTTATATCTGTTTTATATCTGATTTAGATGATATTTATTCAGGTAGAAAAAAATATTAATTTTTTTTTCAAGAAAGGATGTAACTCCCATTCAATGGAAAAAAAGCACTTACACTGAGAGAAAGGATTTTGTTAACAAGCCAGTACTTTTAATAGTGATCAGTAAATATGTGACAACAAATTTTGTTGTTGTGATTGCTGCTAGTCTGCTATACCAACCAATTATTTGTAATAGAAACAAATATATATAGAATCTAACCTATCTTTTGGATAAATTTTAGGCTTGTTTACATGGAATTCCTAGACGATTATGGAGTCTTAAGTCATAGAAAATCGACCAAGCAGTCTATAGGGAGAATACTTGATTAGAATTGGTCAATTTCTTATGATTTGAGTCCTTGCAACCGTCTACGACTATATATATATATATATAT